GTAGGCCTAATAGTGTTGCTTTTATTCTTTTTTTTTTATCTATTTATGTATTATTCTTTTATTGTATGTTCTCTTCTTACATGTTTCTTTTCTTTCTTTTTTTCTGTGCTTTCGTCTTTTTTCCTTTTCTTTTTTCTTCCGTTTACATTTTTTTCTTTTCTTTTCTTTTCTCTGCTTTTTTTCATCTTCGTCTTCTTTTCTTTTTGTATCTTCTCTTCTAACATTGTTCTCTTTCGCTTTTTCCTTCTTCCTGCCCTTTTCGAATCTTTTGTTGTTTTCTTTTTCTTTTCTTTTTGCTAATTGTATCTTTTTCTCTCTTCCGGTTTTCTCTTTTTCTCTTTTTTTCTTGTTGTATCTTTTCTTTTCTATTTCCGTTTTCTTTCCATTTTTCTTCTGCGCTTCCGTTATTATCATTATTTTTTTTCTAATTGTATCTTTTACCCTCTTCTTACTTTTCCTTTTCGTCTTTCTTCTATTTTTTATTCATTGTTTTTTATATTTATATACATACATATAAAGAAAGAAACTGTCCTTTTCTTTCTCTTTCTTTTTCTCTTTTTATTTTTTTTTTTTTTTTTGATCCAAGAATGTCCAAAAAATGTTTATTTACCTTTACCTTTAAATCGCTCTTTATTTACATCTTCACTATTTCCTCTTTGCTATTTTTTCTGTTTTTACTACTAATAATTTTTCATCTTTTCTTCTTCTTCTTTTCTCTATCTTCTTTCTCCCGTTATTATTTTTTCATGTTATTATTATTCTCCTTCCCTTCTCAATTCCACCTCTATCTCTTTCTCTCCACTTCTCTTTTCCATTTCTTGTGTTTTCATTTTCTTCTTTCTCTTCTGTCGTTTCTTATTTTCTCTTCTTATTTGGTCAAAAAAAAGAAAGAAAGAAAAAATGTATATATATATATATATATATATATATATAATATATATATATATATATATATATATATATATATATATATATATATATATATTTAAACTAAATGAAATTAGTATACGGATCGCACGTTCAAGAATTAAATGAATGAAAATGATTACGATCATGAAAATGATGGTGAAGAGGAGGAGGAAGATGAAGAAGATGAAAGCCAAGACGAAGATTAAGACGAAGATGAAGGAGACAAAGATATTGATCATGATAAAAATGAAGCACAATATCGAGATGGTGATGATGAAGATGAATGATGAATGGAAGCAAGAGAATAGTGTTGATGGTGATGGTAAAGATGGTGAAGACGGAGAACATGTATGAGGTGATGATTATGATAATGAGGATGGTGATGATGATAGTGATCAAGAGGAGGATGGAGTATGAAAAGAAGAACAAGGAGAAGAAAGAGAGAAAAGAAAACAAGAGGGAAATTGAAGACTATCTTTCATTCATAAAGTGATGTACGATGATAAATGGATATCTAAGTAAGAGTAAATTTACAATGATAGATAAGGAGATTATAGATCAGCAGAAGTGATATAAGTGTCACTGACCACCGTAATGATAAGAGTAATAAGAAATAATGAAGATATATTTCATATATTTCAGACAAACTGTTGTATTGTCTTCTTGGTTTTGATATAATCTTTGAATGTTGTAAAGTATGTCAGTTCTCCATTTTTTTCTGAATGAATATATGTATGTACACAGTAAATACCTCTGTGCAGTGAGTGTATGTGAATGTACAAGTAAATGCATATATGAGATGCTGAGGCTCATGAGTAGGACCATATTTTTAACAGTGGAGCTTTCAGAATGGAAACGAGCTCAGTATTCTGGCCTCTTCCCAGAGTGTCGGAACTCACCCGTATTAACCCTTAGCCGACGGGTGGCATTCACGTACATGCCATGGCTGTTGTGGACCGAGAGACGAGTGGCAATTACGTACATGCCATGGCTGTTGTGGACCGAGAGACGGGTGCCATGTACGTACATGCCATGGCTGTTGTGGACCGAAAGACGGGTGGCATCGTGTCATGCCCATTCCAGCGACACTGTCTCGTCGGACGGAGTTTGTTTATCTCCGATAATAGCGGCTTCATTTATATGGTAAAAATTTTAGGCAATGGCACCCATAACAAATGTAAACCTTCAAATTTTTAATATTTTTTATAGATTATAGCAAAATAAAAGCTTTTAAGTGCTAGATGTCGCTCGCAAACTACCGATCTTAATAGCCAACTATACCCGTGTTCGAAGTGACAAGGAAGGAAAAAACTCATCTGGAAGAACCCGATTGAACGAGTCTGGAGAACAAGCGATGGAAAGCATTATATTGTGTCTGAGTTATATATTTATGTGTGCGTGTGTGAGTGTATACTTTCTCTCTTAAAACAGGATGTGCTCTCTCTCTCTCTCTCTCTCTCTCTCTCTCTCTCTCTCTCTCTCTCTCTCTCTCTCTCTCTCTCTCTCTCTCTCTCTCTCTCTCTCTCTCTCTCTCTCTCTCTCTCTCTCTCTCTCTCTCTCTCTCTCTCTCTCTCTCTCTCTCTCTCTCTCTCTCTCTCTCTCTCTCTCTCTTTCTTTCTCTCTTTCTCTTTTCTTTTTCTCTTTCTTCTCTCTTCCCTTTCTCTTCCCTTCTCTCTCCCTCTCTCTCTCCCTCTCTCCCTCCCCCCCCTCTCTCTCTCTCTCGCTCTCACTCTCTTTCTCCATGTATATATGTGTGTGTGTGTATGTGTGTGTGTGTGTGCATGCATGTATGTATGTATGTGCATATATACCTACATACATATGTATATATACATATCTGAACCATCTGAACTGCAGATAAGAATTGATAAGAATCGTTGATAAGCAGTAGATGACCCAGATGCTGCAGCTGTGTGTTCATTCGGTCTCATGTTGTGTTCATGACCAAGCATTCATGCCAGAAGTAAAATAAAAGATAATCGCCATGTATATTGTAAATAACTGATGTTTAAAGCATTAGGAAAAAAAGAATCCTTGTGGAGTGCAAAAATTAAAGCCATTAATGCCGATTGATGTGTCTGTGTGTGTGTGTCTGTCTGTGTGTGTGTTTGAGCGTGTGTGTGTGTGTGTGTGTGTGTTGTGTGTTTGAGTGTGTGTGTGTGTGTGTGTGTGTGAGCGTGTGGTGTGTGTGTGTGTGTGTGTGTGTGTGTGTGTGTTTGAGCGTGTGTGTGTGTGTGTGTTTGAGCGTGTGTGTGTGTGTGTTGAGCGTGTGTGTGTGTGTGTGTGTGTGTGTTTGCGTGTTGTGTGTGTGTCTGTGTGTGTTGAGCGTGTGGTGTGTGTGTGTGTTTGAGCGTGTGTGTGTGTGTGTGTGTGTGTGTGTGTGTGGTGTGTGTGTGTGTGTGTGTGTTTGAGCGTGTGTGTGTGTGTGTGTGTGTGTGTGTTTGAGTGTGTGTGTGTGTGTGTTTGAGCGTGTGTTGCTGTGCGTGTGCTGTGTGTGTGTGTGTGTGTGTGTGTGTGGCAGTGCGTGTTTGAGCGTGTGTGTCCGTGTGTGTTTGAGCGAGTGAGCATGTATATGTGTATGTGATTAGGGGCGTGCAATCCGGCCCCTAATCATAGCGTACCAAACAGGACACACGCCAGGTGAGTCCGTGCTGACCTTGGCTCCGCCTCGTGTCCTTTTATCGGCCGTGACTCCGACGCCAGAGGAGGGTGTACCTGTAAATATATGTGTGTGCACGAGTATATGTATGTGTGTGTATGTATATATTTATATATATATATATATATATATATATATATATATATATATATATATATATATATATATATATATAGATAGATATTGAGCGTGTGTATGTGTGTGTGTGTTTAGATATAAATATACTATATATATATATATATATATATATATATATATATATATATATATATATATATATATATATATATAATATATATATATATATATATATATATATATATATATATATATATATATATATATATATATATGTGTGTGTGTGTGTGTGTGTGTGTGTGTGTGTGTGTGTGTGTGTGTGTGTGTGTGTGTGTGTGTGTGTGTGTGGTGTGTGTTTATATATATTATATATATATTATATATATATATATATATATATATGGTGTGTGTGTGTGTGTGTGTGTGTGTGTGTGTGTGTGTGTGTGTGTGTGTGTGTGTGTGTGTGTGTGTGTGTGTGTGTGTGTGTGTGTGTGTGTGTGTGTGTGTGTGTGTGTGTATGTCTGTATATACGCCACAAAGATATACACGATATGCCCGCTTAAACTTCAAAAAAAGAAAAGAAAAAAAAAATCCTGAAATCCCAGGGTCCAAACAGGATTTCATAACCCGGGTCTATTTCCGTCGCTGACCCAAGCCCTTCGAGTCTTTGCAAAATACCGTAGGTCAAGTTTCTCGATCCGTCCGGGGTCTTCGAAGAGGTTCGGTGAGGTGCCACTGACGAATTTCTTCATATATAAGATGTATAATCTATAAGATGTATGATCTATAAGATGTTACAAATGTTGCATTGATATTAGGATTACGTGTTGCCAAGGCGATCCTCCGGTGAACTTGAACTGAAACGGTATGCATCAACAGAAATCATAAACATTGATGTATGATCATGAACATCAATGGTACATGTAATATACATAAATCAAGTGATATAAGCTATATGTATAACAACTTAAATTCCACTTGTTGCTGCTACAATGCAGTGATCTAGTTATTTTCCTTTTTTTTTTTTAAGTAAATAGGATTTCGATATTAATTAACCTATTAGCATTTTCTCGCGAGTTCCTCTCCTCATACCCTCCTTACCGCCTTCCTTTTATCTCTCCTTCGTTGTTTTCTTTCTCCCTTTGTCTGGCATCTTCCATTCTCTCTGTTCTTCTCGGATCAAAGTGGTTATTATTTCATCAACTGGTCTATCAAACTATTGTCTATTGTCTCATGTATTCTTAACAAGTTTTTTTCTCTTCAGTATTCTCTCATGTCACTTTGTCGATGCATTGTTCTTTTTTTCTACCATGCTGACTTTGCATATGCCTAAAACGCCTGATACTTCTACCTA